CCCCCCCCCGGTGTCATTCTTATTAAATGAGCTGGTGTAGCTGGGTGTTATAAAATGTCAGCAGAAGAAATACTGCAACCCTTGCTTTATTTCAAAAATCATATATGCATAGTTATGGCTATAGATTCACAAGTTAGCATAAAAATGAGTCTTCACTTGATTGCCATTTTTCTTGTGCTTGGGACTCCTATTGAAATCAGCTCATTGTCTGCAAGAACTGCAGGATTCAGTCCTTATTCTGGTCTTTTGTTGGAGTAGTTTCCTTGGAGACTCTGGTTTCCCCCTGCAACACACAGATAGATAGTATCTTAATTGTAAAAAAATTAAGACCTAGGTCTTATTTCCTCAGAAATAATAGGTTTGGTGTATCTCTAAGGAGCCCTGATTTGTGCCTGGGGCCAACTGTTGTTTCAAATTTACCGCTGTCCTTTGTTGGGAAGGCTACAGTGTGCCCCAAGAGCCTTTGCTTTCTTTTACACTGATGCCATTGAGGGAGATGCAGTTACTAGTTCTAGTCAATAGGTATTTCTTGGTATTGCTGGTGATTTAATTCTCTCCTTGGTTGGGAAAGGAGAAGACCCTCCAGGATTGGAGGTGAGGGACAGACCAGGGAACAAGGTGAATAAAATGCAGGTGTTTCTTAGCAACTTCATGTTTTTGCTTTCAAATTCATGTTTATAAGCAGGCACAAAGCCCCATAGCTCTGTAGGTACAAAGTTGATCTGTGAATTGGTGTCTACATGCGTTAATGTTTGCTTGTTGAAACTGGAGATAATATACTGTATCGGTCCAATATTTAAATACACTCCAGTCTCACTGTAATGTTATCACTAGTAGCGGAGCAATTTCTCTTTTAATGATCTATAATAGATTTTAATAAAGCTCAGTGTCAAAATTTAAGCTACTGGTGATTTTATATTTGAATTTAAAACAGCAGAAAGATAACATTTAAGCAATTTGAAGAAGTTTTGTGCTCTCTGAAATGCCTTATTTGGATGGACTGAGTTATCGGGAAGATATATTTTATTCATTAAACTAATACCCGATGTAGAGATTTACTTCTTCAGAGCACTTATAG